TCCACATATGTCAAAACATTTCATGAAACATTTCATGAGGTGAACATATTTCTTTATTTATTGAAGGAAAAATGCTGTTCAGCTTTAACTGGGCCTATGTGAAAAATGAATTGCCCATTAGCTACTAAGGTACCCGGTTAACCATATTCAATCGACTTTTGGGTTCAATTTCACTAGCCAGCAGACAGCAAACAGACCTGTTGAATTTAAACATTATTTGAATAGAACGTATCTGACAATGTGAACCGAAGCCATTGCTAAGGTTCTGGGACTCCAGCGAACTACAGTGAAAGTCATTATCCACAAGTAGAGAAAACTTACTTGCCTCAGTTAAGATCAATGTACACAATTCCACAGTAAGAAAGATGCTGGGCAAAAATGGTATCCACTGTGTGTGTTTGTGTACACACACACACACACACACACACACACACATATATATATATATATATATATATATATATATATATATGAACAAAAGGGTGATTTACCACAGATTTTCTTGTTATCTTTCGGTACATTCAGCAGACCTGTAGAGCTGGAAGATAGTGACTTGGGGCAAACAGAGACAGACAATCCATGATATGTGATGGTGCTATTCTATTTCATACTTTAAAATCTATCCTAAAAGAGACTAGAGTCATATGTTTTCTCTTGAGTGTTTTGCTATTATAACCCTGGCTGTGGCATTCTAGGCAAGCTGCAGCTTCTCAATTTCTTTTTTTGGCAACCCAGTAGGCAGAGTGTGTTAGCGCTTAAACCACTGTTAACAGGGGAAATGCATGGCCTCTGGTCCATATGCTTAGAACAGTTTGGTGAATATTTCATAGACACTGAGAAAGCCCTCATACTCATTTTGCAGCAAATTGTTTACAGACATGGAGCATATTTTACTATCCCACTAGGTATCAATTTACACTGTGTCAACTCTAGACTATAAACTGAGTGATAACAAAGCTTTTACTGATAATGAGCACGTCTGTGCATGCTTGTGGAAAACAAACATACTAATACACACTCACACAGAAGTGCATGTGGCTGTTATTTTTTAATTAAATTAAAAAGTGCCATTTTGACTATAATTTGATATCATGACTCTTGTGTACATTTATTATATCTGGGTCTTTTTCCAAAATAAATCTAAAGGAGGCAGAGCGAAACCTGCCTGGCATTATGATGCTGAAGCTTTTGAAGAACAAAACCCTAATTGGTTTACTGTGTTTACAAGTGCATTTGCAGAAAAGTATATGTCAAGTCTGAAAAGATCACATTTGAAGTACATTTTGGCTTTAAAGATGTCAAAGAAAGGATGAGACATAAAAACTGTTTAAATGCACAGAGCAAACTGTATCAGCAAGACGTCTACTCTTTTAACTTTGCTGATGTGCAGTTTAGAGAGCCTTTGTACCACAAGGCAAAGTTTTTGTGGTTTTTGGGCAGAGGTGGTGCCATATACCTAAAAGTGGTGGAGCAAAACGTAAAAAAAATGCAGCTGGCTGAGTGACAAAATACAGCTAGGCCACTGACTGAGTAACTAAAACTACCTTTCATATCATTTTAACAACAAGTCTCCATAAACCTGTTCATTAACAGTGTCTGTTTTGACCCAGCGCTTCTGTTGATTTCACACCTAGTTCATTTGCTAAAGTCTGAAGTCTGACATTGAAGTTTTGCAGGGATACAAGTAATCTGTTTACCTCACATCTGCCAACATTTGAGCCAAAACAAATCCTACTTTGCATGAAAATACAGATGTCTATGAGTATCACAGTCAAAGCAATCAAAATAAATCTTACTTGATTTCTGCTCCTTTATGATTCGTTTGTCAATTTGATTGTAACCAATCAAGTCACTGATGCAATACTTTCTGCAATCCATGTGCAAAATTTGTGCAAAAAATGCTTTGCTTTTACTTTATCATCTGCCGTTATAGCAGCAGCTCACACTACAAGAACAATATGAGCGTCCGTCAAGAGTAAAATGTTAAACAGCTGGATTATGCAGACAGTACATCACCGATGTGCACTAAGCATACTCTGGTATTCAATTCACTCATTTGATTCGCACCATCATAAACATTCCCACCAGCACATCAGACATCAGAACATCACTCTGGTTAAGTTGTTTACTGTGGACCCGAGTATAGGTAGAGTGTTCACACCTGTCAAAACAGACCAAATTAAAGAAAAGGTTTGATAGGTCTACACCAAACGAGTTAGGTGAGAAAGAGTCCTCAGTTAAGAAATATTCATATAAACTGATATGTGGCAAAATAAACTGTGATCCAATATGTTTGATTGTATGTACTGCAGTAAAAACAGTTAGTGAGCTGCGGCTCCTCTTACTGAATACAAATGCTTTAATGTTTGTGAAATGTCCGGCCTTCCAGCTGAAATGGAGATTTTGATGGGCTCTACCGCAGAGTTTGACTCTCTGTTCGTGCCTATAGGTTAGAGGTCTGTGCAGTTTAGGTAGGGTGGAGATTTTCTTTTTGATGTAAGCATCCTGAACTCAATCAGAAAGTGGTAGGCATTGCCTAAGTACTTTGAAAAGTGGTTGGGTTAAATGCTTGCTTGCCCCTATGGTTCTTGTGGCTGTGAGGGCCAATAAGCACTATACTAGTTAAAACATGCACACTGTAACATTAGTCACCATAACATGAGAAAGAACAACATGTTTAGATATCATGCCAAGCTCCAGGCCACACTGCACTGTGGAGTTTAGTGCTTTCCCTGATTTAACACATTTGACTCGATCCACTGGCTAATTACCAAGCCCAGGATGAGCTGATTTAGGTACGTACTAAATTCTGCAGCACTGTGGCATTCCAGGGCCTGAATTTGCCACCCCCGGTTTAGAGGACCTGACTCAAGCTCCTAAATAAAGCACAAGTCCTTAAAGTAATAAATAACTTGGAGGTTTGGATGGGCGCCACTTTTAGAGATGTCTGGATTCCTTAAATTCATGTTTCGCAATTCTGTCTTTTCCCTGCCTCCAACATATTTGACTGAGCATGTTTGTAGAAAACCAACAGAAGTTAATATGCTGTCTTTCACTGACTTCACTGATTGTCATAGCTAAATGTTGCTGTGCCTTTCTTTCACTTTTGTGTTAAAAATCCTTCACAGTGAAAAAGATTTATAAACAGCATGTGTTTGTGCACATCAGGGAAAGTAAAGATGATCAGAAAAGGGGACATATTACAGACCAGGCCATTGGTGCCAGTGCCCAGAGGCCTCTGACTGCTGGGGTCCCTGGTTGGCCTAAGACCACAAGGTCTGAGGTGGCTCAGATACAATCCACTGCACATGACTTTAGATGAACTAATAGCTTTTATACCATGCAAACAAATAACTAAATAAAATAAATAAATGTAGAAATGTTATCTGTTCTCAGGCCCCTCAGGTTTCATATTATTATTGACTTGTGGGATTATGTTGTTGCTATTCAAATAGATGTTTCACACGGTGTGTGATAGTGATGTTAGTGTTTATCCACCATGACAAAAATCACAAAAATCTTCAAATCTTGCACAAAAAGCACAACTTTTATGGTAAGATATATAATAATGCTCATAAAAACAGCTCATTCAGTAGCTTTTCAAAACAATAAAAATAAACTTACTTCAGGATTTGCTCAAAATGCAAATAAACGTAATATTGTTTAATGTGGAATTCCTTTAATTTTTCAAGTTATGTATAATTGAATCGTTGAGATGTAAACAAAGTCATGCAGATTGGTCTGATGTGAAATAGTTAATCTTATAGAAACCTACCAACTCAGATTTCTGTACAGTGGTGATGATAAGAAGCAGGTATAGTGATGTGTACAAATGCAAATGTATGCATTTTATTTATTATGCAGAATGAACATTTGTGTTTTTCTGAGTCTTTTTATGTAATGTTGAAGATGGTTAAATAGCTGTTTTTTGTGGGAAGTCCTATTTTGCCTTACAATGTCCTTCATGAATGGCATGGATATATGTTTTAAAAATGTTTTACAGTTAAATCATATCGCTTATCCACTAAAAAAGCATCATAGGTGATGGATTTTTAACTATTTTTTGTGATTATTTACTGTTAGGGAGCTTTTAGGGCCCTTAAACTCTACAGATGTCTGGTTCCCATCACCACCACTGTGAACAAATCTGACTCTGAGGTTCTCTAGAACGAAGCATCTCATATCAAATCACTCTGAATGACCTTGCTTAACCATTTAATCATGCTGAATTTTTCCGCTGATTTCGAGCACTTAGTAAAATTACCCTTTAATCTCAGTTTTCTGGTCTTTTTTCAGGTTTTTTGTAAGTGCTGTTGGTTGTAAATCTATTTAATCTTTGTCTTATGTTTTATTATTAGTTAATCAGAGAAACGGACGACCTTTTTCAGCTGCCCCAAAATCTCACTATATTGTTAAATTAACTAAAAGTTATGAGGAAAAAACTCCCAATACGCCTCTAAAGGCCAACGCGACAGTACACATTACTAACGATGTGGCGCCATCGCGTGGTCATCTCGCGACACTGCAGAGCGAGAGGAATTTGAGCAAGATTGAATGAGGAAACAAGTAACTTTGAGTATTTTACGGCGTGTCCTTGCAAGACTGCTCGTTTTTATGGTGGTCTCAGGCATTTTAATGGACTATGAGGCAGTTATAAACACATGTTAATTCAGTTCAGCATATTTGCGGTGTTGGTGTGGCTGACTGGCTTGGCTGCTGGACAAATAAACTGTAGAAAAAAAGCGTAGCCTGGAGGCTTAGCATGATTCAACACGTCCTGCAGAGAGCGAGAGATTTCTGTAGACAGACTTGTCGATGCCAGAGGCCCGTCAGAAACCTCCTGGTGAGCTTGAAAGATATCGTTACTAACCTACACACAAATCTAGAAATCTAGTGGCTATTTCTTTTTTACTATGTAAAAAGACTCCAGAGCGCTGGTCCGGTTTGACTGGCTTGGCTGGATGGTCTCCATGGTCTCCTGTGGTCAGGCTCAGGTGAGTTGAAGGGGCGTTGTTGGTGGTGCGGCTGGATTTCAGAGGCGTGGGCCAGAAACGCGACCACAGGACACAGAAGGCGGAACGAAGTCCTCAGCGGGCTCCTCTCTCTTCGCACCACGCTGAGCGGCTGAACTGAAAAGTGGAAACGGGTGGGTGGAGAAGGGACGCGGTGAAGCTCAAGCTCAACAGCTCTGCAGCACGGCAACTAACGCAGAAAACGGCCTTCTTCGACTGAGGTAAGTTAGCGATGCGAGCAACAAGTCTGAACAAAAGTTGCTCTCTCGGTTTCAGTTGAGGTTGCTGCTGTTGGTGTGTGTAAAGGCCGCTCCAAGTGTGATAACGAACAAGCAACACCTTGGTGTGCTGGGTGTTCTGCTAAAAGTAGCCACAGGCTCTTGTGAAGTAGTCCGCTCGCTCACCTGTCCACGCTAAAGCTGCAGTGTGTCACTTTCAGGCCGTTAAGTCTTCTAAAGTGTCTGTCTGTAGGTAACGTGTTTTTTCCCTTGCAAACACTGACACAGTCACTCTCGGACAGAAACGGACAGCAGCCGGTTGATTTTCTGCTCGGCCCATGATTGAACTGACTGATCGTTTGTGACCGCATCCACTGTTTTAGCCTTGGGTTGAATTTGATATGCAAGTTGTTGAGGAGCTCACCAGGAAACTCATGGTGCCTGAAGTGCGTGGCCAGTGCTTGGACTTTGCTCTTGGAGTGGCTGTGGCTGTGAGGAATAAGTTGTCAGGTATGCATGACTCAAAATGTAAATGTAACCGAGGCCTATCCTATACAGTGTGCTCTGTCTATAGACATGGGCTGCTTACAGTTTGATATGGAATCATATGCTGGGCTACAATACATGGACCTTGTTTTTAGGGATGCTCTGATATAGGAATTGTGGACCAATGCCAATGTTTTAGATTTATTACTTTAATACCACACTTGTGCAAAAGTCAGCCACTTCCTTTATTTCATTTCCAGTCAAAACGGAACGGAACCAGAAAGTACAAGGTAGTACAAGATAATCCACTTGAAGGGGAAAGTCAAAGGAAAGTGAAGAAACAATACAGAAAAAAAAACGATTAAGCGAAAGAGAGAAAATGTGATTCCTAACAGCCGAGCAGGACCTGGCAGCCCGCCAGTGCTGTCCCCATCAGATAAACAGAACTCTCATCTTTAAGAGAGAGGAGAAAATCAAGCTCCACTTTTTTCAGATCAGAAAAAGTCCACAGGTATTTCTGTCCATCTTTCCACTGTGGGAAGATGTCGTGTAGCTGTCGAGAAGTTGTAACTGAGAAAAGGAAATGGACAAAAAGAAGAAAGGGCTTAATTCACCAACTGTTCTTCATAAGAAAGTTTCTTTTTAAAACCCATAAAGATTCTGACGTTCACCAGTGTTTTAGTTGGGATTTGTTCTTGAGTAAGAACAGAATCTACACACTCGAGCACAAAGATTAAGAACATGGTTTAAGAACCTGTCATGAATCTGACGTAGACTTTTTCTTAGAACCTTCCTCAAGCTAAGTAAAAACGTAGGAGGATATTGGGGAATGAGGCCTAAAGTTTGCAAATCAGAGAAGCTGCTGGTGCCAGAGTCCAGGCCTCAGCATCACTGAACATGTTTGGGATTACTTGGCTTGTGAGAAGCAGAAAATGTAAACTCCTAAGACTCAACGTTGGATATGTGGCAAAAAAGCCCTGCAAATTTCTTTAAAAAAACAAACAAACAAACAAACAAAAAAAAAAAACTGAAAGCAAGTCTCCCAAAAAGAACAGAAGCTGTTTACTCCAAGGCCCAACAACAAATAGTTATTTCTTTTTAATTATTTGCTCTGCCAAGTTGCTTAAAGGTTAGAAAATTTCAGGTGAGAAACTTTTGCTTCTTTTAATGTTAATAGAACCAAAGGCTTAAATCGACTTGTTGAAGGGTGGAACAGAAATACACTTCATGTTCGAGTCTGTCCTTGGCTTTGAACCAGCAAGCTTCATACCTCAGTTCATCCACCACTGCTGGGCCCGCTTACTTGATCTGGTAGACTTGACAGGTCTGACCAAATACAAGAACAAGGACAAAATAGTCTGTTTATGTTTGAAGCTGGGTTGTTGTTGTGCTGTGTGAGAAGTCTTGAGGAATTGTGGATTTGATGAGATGTGTTGAAGTGCGGTGTTTTGTGAGGATGTTCCATGCCTCAGACCGAGCGGGCACCACTCCAGTGCGTGTTGGAGCTTGCCGAAGGATGCTAGCAGAGAGGAAAATATCAGAGGCTGTTTACTTTAAAGAATAAGAGGACTGTCAGCATACTCTAGAGCTGTGTTCGAAATCCCTCCATATTAGAGAAATGTTGCACTATTCAGAGTGTCAGCCATGTTGTAGTGTTTTTGAATTCTCAACGATAGATTAATTATTCAGTTCTACTGGCAGTTTATTATATAGGTACAGCTGCAGTGAATAGTATACAAGTTAGCAGAGCATGTACTCTGAGATACTGTAAATACCTACTGTACTTAATGTGATCATAGATTCTTCCAGAACTTTGATAAATTGTTTGCGGGATCAAGAGGTGCGATTTAAGTGGTAGACATTCAGCCACCTTCAACACCACCAATACATAAAAATGTATCACTTCATTAGTGATTATTTTCCCACAAAGTATACAAAACTGAAGAGATTAAGATTTATTTTGCTGTGAGGAGTGGTGGTTACATATCAGGCATTTTAAAATGTTTATCTTCAGAAGGTACACTTTGATTCATATTTGAATGAGTAACAGTTCACAATGCTCAAAGGTATCAAGCTCAGAAACATTATTTGACTGCTTCTAAGGCTGTTTGAATAATTGTATGTGAAAGAACACGACAGCTAAGAAGGGCTGGACAATGTGACGATATTTATCATTATCGTGATAAATACATCACAATATGTTACAATGTGCTTTCTGAGTATATCTTGCATATTGTCAATACTTAACGCTAACACGTTTCATTGCATAGAGAGCATAATCCTGTTTAATTGGATTTTATGTAGCACAGTATGTGAAATGTTGAATAAAAATTGTTGTCATAGTTTTTGATTAGTATATTTAGATGTGTCACTACTGGTCAGATGTCATAAAAAAATAAATATTGTGACGTTTTGTGTATTATGAAAATTGCTTAAAATATTAATATTATACATACTAATAATATTAATATTAGTCTGTGTTTGACTCCCCGGTCCAGGGTGACCAAGGTCCTTTTGTGTGGAGTTTGCATGTTCTCCCTGTGTCTGGACTGTGGGAGGAAACCCACATAGTGACATGCAGTCAGGCCAACTGGATATGCTAAATTGCCTTGAGGTGTGAATGTATATGACTGTGTGTATGCCCTGTGATGGACTGGCGACCTGTCCTGCCTTCCGCCCAATGAACGCTGTGATAGGCTCCAGCACCTCCCGCGACCCAGGAGGATAAGCGACCTAGAAGATGAATGAATAAATGTTAATATTATGTTTTTGCCATGTCACCCACCCATGCAACAAAGAATACACATTTTGGCTGTTTTGACCGATAGCCAATTAGTGTAATTAGTTTAATCACGAGTCTGAAATCAAGAATGCGACCCACAAGAATATCAGTTATAAAACTTTAAAATCTAACACCTGACGAGCTGAGCCACTTCTGAAACCATTGTAAAACACTTGATATATACACTCATATGTGTGCAAACATTGGCTGAATTCGATGTTAATGCCCCAGTGTATTAAAAGAATGTTCCTTATGTGAACCGTGATGCAAAACTAAAAATGTAATGAAATGAGTGACATACAATGATGGGCTACAGGAAGTTTACCACGTATTATTAGCCCAAGTTAAAATGAACATAACTGCCATGATGAGGGCTAGTTTTGTCTCCGTGTATCTCAGTACCTCTTGAAAGTAGTTTGGCATGTCCTTCTATATAATCTTGCACACTGGTTTGCGTCACATTTGTCTTATCACTTGTGGATGTTTACTTATATGTGGTGCATCACTGTAGTTACGGTCTGCAACTCCACTTCATCTTTTTGGTAGCTGTATTTAGTGGAACCAGTTGCCTTCAGTGCTCTCATGCATACAGTTTAAAAGCACTCCACAACTTGATAAACGTCCTGTTTGAATAAGAACTGTTGTTTGTTGGAAATTAAATGAAATTAGGCTTTTTTTTAAATGATAGCATTTGTCAAACAACTAGCAGTTAATCAGTTAACCATGTACATCCCTAATGACAGTATGGCATATAGGCTGAACCGATGTGGTCAGTATTTTTATGTACGTATATCGGCCACAAAGGTACAGTAAGGTAAACAGCATTGTTAGTTAAAAACCCGTTTACCGAAAAGGTTTTAAAATGATTGGAAAGTAGTCATATAAAAATTAATGTCTGAGACATAAAGCAATACAAATGTCATAAATGGACCTCGGGGAGAAAAAAAAAAGAAAAATGTAGGATATGGGCTCATTAAGCCCCTCGTGAATTAAGTCAGGTCTACAAGGGAAGTGTGCAGTGTGGTGGTCCTCCAAGAGTGGAGCTGGAACAGTGTGTTGAGAATTTAAATGGAACCATTTCATGCCTGGTGTACATGCTTGGAGTTCATTGTACTAGCTTGAACATTTGGCCCATTGTGTGTTGTCTTCAGCTTACGGAGCCATCTCAGTGTTTCCGCAGTCAGCTGTCTGATTGTTCTAAATGGCAAATAGCGTTCGGTTGACTTTTGCTGAGATGGCTAAATGTCACAGAGGCAATTTTGCTACATGCTGGTGTTGTAAACCATCCATTTGCAATGTAACAATTGAAGGGAAATATTAATCTGCTCCCCAGGCCTTGCAGTTTGCAGTTTATGTTCCAACTCAGCCTTGGTTGAGGTGCAGCCTAAAGGCTTCTTTTCGTGCCAGTCATCAGACGAAGGTTAAGGACAGAATGCTATGCCAAAGCCACAAGCTGTTTATTGTCAATCATTCTTCTTCTCTAGGTATGTGTGTGTACTGAACAGCTGTAAACTTTAACTGAGTTCTGAACCATAACTGTCTACAACCCTTGAACACCATACATTATTTCTTAAATATGTGGAGAACACTTGTGTTTAAAAGTAGCCTGTCTGCTAACACCTCAAAAGAAGAAGTGATTTGGGGAAACTGAGAAGCAGAGACAGCAGGGCAGTACATTTGTAAATAACAGAAAAGATAAAACTCAGTGCATGCCCGGTGCTCTCAGGCTCCAAATCCTCAAGAAATATACTTTGAGATATTCAGCTTTATTAATGTGTGTATCTTGTTGATTTTTTTTTTTTGAGGCTCACTCTGTGTTCAACTGAAATAATTTTTCATAATGCAGTTATTATCTATCAGGTTGCATCTCAGAAAGCCAGATTTACCGTTGTTGGACGTCAGAAGCAGCACATAAGCAAAAACCCCAAAAGTTTCCTAGCGTTGTGGCTTTCAAAGCATAGCTTAATAGCTGCTGGTAGTGAGCATGTATGAGCTGTGAGCTGTCACAGAGTGACTATAGAGTGGTTGGGTTAACCACGGATAGAGGGACGCATTCATGTGTCCTAGTTATTGACCGACCCCTTTGCCATCCTCATTGGCTTCAGGGGCCTTGCAACATTTTCACACTGGGGGAGGGAGGATGGAGGGTGCTGGCGGGCTAGAATTCGGTGGCTTTTGTGTAACTGAATTATACCTTGCTTCTGAGCACATTTGTGGTTTACTTTTGGTTCATTGCTTCTTGATTTCTATTAGCTTGTGAACAATTAGGACATATTTAGTTGCCTACTGCTGTTGAGCGATTCTTGTGTGGGTCCACAATTTCATCGGTCCTCCCATTCTACATGATAAGACTCTGAACATAAAAATGATATTTTCACACAGGCTTTAGAAAATAATGTGAAAAATGAGATATGAAGCCACATGTTGAAAAATAGGGTATTTGCGACAAGTGGGTTATCATTGCTTTAAAGCAAGCCAACTGCTCACAATCAGTTTTGCACTAATGGTTTGGCTAAAAGTGAAATTTACTCAAATTTCCCTGAATGTAGTCAATAAGCCAAGATGTGTTTGGTCTCTGAAGCTTGTTTCTTCATGCACTGGAGAAATGAGGGTAATGTAGCTAACAAGTATTGGGAGTTTTATTCAGATGATTTATCTGTATTAATTTTTTTTGTCTCTTAGTTTAGGAGGTGTGCAGTCGTATAAGGATAGTAAAATAATTCAGAGGAAAAATAAAATTTGCCAGTTATAGTCACTAATTCTGTCAAGACTTACTGGTCTAGAAAGTCATCTAATAAGACTGTGGGTGGTGGGATGGGAGTGTGGGTATACAGATTAATATGTACAATCTTTTGTTGTGTATACAAGGTTTGATCTTGTTTGCATGTTTATATAATAGTGAGAGACTGTTTAGCTGCTTAACTGTTAAATGAAGTAAAAATAAATTTCTGTGTTAATATGAAGCAGATAGCAAAAGAGAAATACATCACAGTAAAAGAAATGTTACATAAGGGTATCAGTAAATTTATACAGTTTGGAGACTGTTAATGTAAGGTTTACTATCTCTAGATGATGACACCTGTGTTGACAATAGGTTGTCATTGTGCAAACTGCATGCCTATACCACCACATACTTGCCTCAAAAGAACTAGTTTGGTTCCACTCTGACATTTGTTAGTGGAAGAAAGTGTTTCACACTAATTATTTGTCATTTTTTCTGTTTATTAACTTTCTCTAAAAGGTTCCTTCTTTTTTTCTCCTGCAGAAAATTCTGCATTGTGATCTGGCCTCCTACTCATGGCACCGACTCTGCGGGTCTTCATTCAATGCTAACCCTTCCTCTCATGCTCTTAGTGCCATGACCTGCTTGGATGGCATCCCCCTCTCCTTCCACTTGGACCCCACTGAAGAGATCTCTGTGTGGCTCTCCAGTCTCCACTTGCCTCAGTATGCCTCCAGCTTTACCCAGGCGGGGTACTGCACCCTGGGAGACTGCAGGGGTCTGACCGAGGAGAAGCTCCTGGACATGGGGCACTTCCCCACAGGCCATCGGCGGAGAATACTCCGCAGCCTGGAGGTTTTCATGGGTGGGGAAGGATCTGAGGGGAGGAAGAAACCTGTCCCTTTACCTAGAAATATTTTCCTTAAGGATGGCAAGAGAGTAGTGAGATGCGAAGGTTCACAGAAAAGCAGCACTGCAGAAAACAAAATCCTGTCCGGAACGCGGAGTCTTCCTGCAAGGACTTGTGAAGAGACAGTGACTAATGATGACTCAGGTGGACCAATCACACAGTTTTCTACAGGTGTCCCCCACACACTTCCAAGGAGACTACCAAAAGTGGCTTCCTCAGGCTCCAGCTCTACCTCTTTGCACAGCAGCACCGAATCACTGTCACTTTCCTCCCACTCTGTACCTTCTGATTGGGAGAACTCAGAGGAGCCTGCTTTTTCCACAACAGGGCATATTCCAGATGTGAAAGGAGACTTCCCCTCAGAAGAAGCCCTCAAAGCATTTCAGGGAGAGATGGTGGATAACGATATATATGAGAGCTCTTACACTGTTAAAAATATTGGCCCCAGAAAAACTCACTCCTACAGGTTACGACACCGGCCTGTGCCAGAAATCCCAGAACGCACCGTCATACCGTCACATGACTGGTAGGTCAAAAGCACTAAGCATTCCGCCTCTGTAAATATACTATATTTTAATGCCTGTGACATGAGTATCAGGCCTATGGAATCTGGTCGAAAAATAATTAATTCATTTTTGTTAAATTATATTTTTATAAAAAAAAAAGCTAACATTCAGTTTAAGGAATTGTTTGTGAAAAAAAAATCTAATTTGCACAATCTTGTACTTACTTCAGATGTATCTAACCAAGACATGTTTGGTGTCCAGATTTTCCTTCTTTACTCTGAAATTGGCGCCAGAAGTCAACAGTCACCCAATGTTTTTACGTAAACACATGCCCAAATCTTCTTCACTGTAAGTCATACAGTTGGCTGAACTGCATTGGTAAGTGACCTTAATGAAGCCCTGTATGCAGTGTATTTACGGAAAACATTAGGGTGACCATTGACCCGTAATATTTGTTAGCCGCTTTAGCCTCATAGCTCTAGCAGTAAATTAAAAGAGCACAATTTGGACATAAAACATGTCTTAGATGATTAACTGCATATGGGAAAGTGGAAAATTGTGTGTAATTGTTTTTTTACTAGATAACTGATTTCATTTTTTAAATAAAAACAGCTGATGCAAGCCAAAATGTATATGTTAAGTTAACACATTTCGTTAATATTGTGTCCTTGAAAGGTAGGAGGCTGAAACTTTAGCATTTGCTGAGGTATGGCATTCACTATCAGTCACTACGTTATCCTACTTAGTTACTATAGCTTTAATTAAAAGTTGATAGTGTATGAACTTTAGCAATGTAGGTTCAATATAGATTCACTCTGATTATGTCTGAAAAAGCCTGAAAAATATTTACAGCAGACCACTATAAACATTCCAAAGGCAATGTTACAAAAACCAGTAGATTATAGGGCATGAAGGAACAATATCAATTAATAATTAAAAAGCCTGTTGCCTGCCAGACTAAGATGAGTTTGAGGTTATGCATGCTTTATAAATATTGGATGATTCACTAATATACTCATATTTGTGTTTCCACTTATGAATGTTCTTTAATGTCTTCTTGAGGTTGTATGTACGTTTTATTCTGCACTTGTGTGTCGTATTATGCACACTGCTACACTGGAAAATTGAATTTCCCTTTGAAGATCAGTAAAGATTATCTTATCCTCATGCATAATACACTACTGCTGATTTTCACCTTCATAGTGCGCGTAGACATTACCTTTGGTTGCGTAAACAGGAATTGCATTCCGTGATTAGAATAGACTAGTATAAGGTATTTGTTATTCCCTGGAGTGTATTTCTCTGAAGAATCTAATCATTATCTTAGCCTCATACTTACTTCAGAGCCAGCAACTAGTTTATCCTCTAGCTTATGACTCTGCTGATGTGAACCAGTGAGGACTAAGAAACTGATGCCTGCTGTATGTGTTTGTGAGTAACTATATCAGTCCTCTTACTAATCCACAGGAGTGTGTGTGCGAAAACCAGCACTGAGCAGCAGAGTGGTGCTGAGGCCCCCAGCGGCCCAACCGGAAGACAGAAAGGTACGCTCAACTTTATTTCTGCTTTATTTGCTTTTTATTTAAGAAATATTTCTTTTTATGATTCAGCTGTGCCATTGTTTAGCCCACTGAAAGAAAAGATGGTTTGCGATATGTCATGGGAGGAAGAGAGGGGGCCAGTTCTGTTGCTGTCTCTACGGAAACCGCTTCTCATCTCCTCATGCATGGAGAGGCCTAGTTTGCCAAACTCTGAAAACTATATAAAGTTGTGCGTGGCTTTGAAACACTTCTGTGGCTCTGTGTTTTGGGCCATGTGGATGCATGAATAAACGTACAGGGAGAGGTTTTTTCCATTTCCTGCAGGAACCGTTCTGAAATTGTTTGTGTGAGACAGTTGCTATAGAGGCTGGGGCAACTGGGAATTTGAACTGAAGCTGTCTGCAAGTGGACTGGTGTATTTCTGTGTCTTAATATTTTTAATATACAGATACAGTCTCCTGTTTCGTCTTAAGCTCTGGAGGATGAGGAATGAGAGAAAATGGGAGGAATGTAGTGAAAGAAACAAAGATGAAAGTGCAAATGGATGGAGGCTTAGTTAAAGGAAGTGCAGTATGTGAATTATGGTATTTACTGAGAATTGGTTTAATCATTTTAAAATGTATATAAATAATTATAAATTGTAAAATGAATATTACAGTAAATTTTATCCATTTACCCATTACATAATAATTTTATACCCTATATGGCCAAAAGTACATGGACACCCCTCCTAATTATTGCATTCAGGTGTTTCAGCCACCCTCATTGCTAACAGGTGTATAAAATCAAGCACATAGCTGTGCAATCTCCATATTCAAACATTTGTAGTAGAATAAGTTGTACTGAAGAGCTCAGTGACTTTAATCGTGGCACTGTCATAGGATACCACATTTGCCACAAGTCAGTCTGCTTTATCAGCCCAGGACAAGTGTAAATGCTATTAGTGTGAAATAGAAGTGTAGAGGAGCAACAACAGTTCAGCCACAAAGTGGTAGACCTCACAGACTCACAGAGTGGAGCCACCGAATGCTGAAGCCCAAAAAAATCGCCGGTGTGTCAGTATTGAACACTCTTGCTCTGTTTCTACCATTTACTGCCATCTGAGTGTATACCATCCACACCACACTTAGCTGTTTCTTTTCTTTTTTCTTAAGTTTCTGTATAGTGTATAATTAAGGCTCTGTCGAATCAAGAAATTTCAACATATAAAATATTGAAAAGTCAAATCTGGACCTTCGAAATTGGATCAGACCTGAAAATGTGTTTTCGTATTACCCTTATAATGAAATAATTGGATAATACAGAGGACAGTGCAGAGAGAAATGGAAGGGAGAAGTGAGAAGTAAAGTGAGAGTGTGGTGTGCAGTTGGAAGGTCAACTGCAGATAATGATAAATGATGACACCGATCTAAAATGACTCCTGTGCCACTGGGCTAAATGATCTGATACAGTGTCTGTCGTAGATAACATACTGCAGTCTAGATCAGACCCCCTCTGGTCTGCCCTTATCTAGCAGTGGGGTCCTGTCTATTAGCTGTGTATCTATGAGCGTGTCCGTCTAGGGGGAGCAGTCTGGAATTTCTGCTGCCCCTTACTATCACTGTGGAGATATGGTGGTCATTTGTCACCTTGACAACCAGTCACCCAAACCGCAGCCTCTCTGCTAGGCTTTCTGTACGTTCTCCTCTCCTTCTTCGTCTCCGTGTCCTTCTTCTTTTTCTTCATGTCGTCCTCTTTCCCTCTTCCTGCATCTTTCTTTCCATTCTGGCTGTATTTGCACCCACGTATAAATCCATTCGTTTTGTTATAAATCATTTATATGTCTTTCTATTGCTGATGGAGAGAAAGAGAAAAAACAAGTAAACACAGGTTTACTTTTTAATGCTGATTATTAGTGATCTGTTTATACATGTTTATTTGTGTATTTCAGCCCCTCTTCAAAGGACACTGACCCCAATCACTCCCTATGGTGAGCTTTACCTCTACAACAAAGACAGTGCAGAAGACAAACTAGTAAGTGTGCAAATAACAGTTAAACATTGTATGGATAGTCCAGTTTCTTTAATAAATTTGCTTTAATTTGAACTACATTACCTTAGTTTAACTTCAGTGAATGGACAACACCATGGATATTTGCTTTAGGTCCTCTTTATTAGACTGTAGCTGAATATTGATTTTCACTTTTAAATCTTCACAGGTATTATGTATAAACCCTTGTCCCATTAAGTCAGCCAGTGAAATCATTTTTCAGTTCAGTGCTACATTGTCTGTTTTTCCATTGTACTCATACCCACTTCCTTAAGTTTAATTGATGTCATAGTTTCAGTAATGTTTTGACGTTGGCCATAAATGTCGCTGCAGAACCATTTCAGTCATTTCTGTTTACACTTGTACACGAAGCATTCATAAACGATACAGCAATGCTGGTTAATGCATTTATTTCTTTACTTGAAGGACATGGGAGCAAAAGAAGTGTTCAAACAAGAAGCAAAGGAGAAGCTGAAACAGAAGAAGTCGAGGTAGTGCATACAGCTCGTTTTACACCCAGCTCTTATGTGTTAACCACATTTGCGCCGCTGCTTTAGTTTTACTCTTGAGATGTACGTCGATGATAAGAGAATTTTTAGACAGACGCTCATGTTTAAGAGGTCCTGTGATAATATATTTAAAATATATGGGATAGAATGCTAGTTTTTTCTGTTTGACATTCATTTAATTTAACCTTCATTTAATAATGTTATGTTTTTTTGCATTGACCTCACTCATTCTAATGAACCTCATTGGAAAAAAAAACACACACATACGCACTCAAGCTTCCTCTCTCTCCCCTTTAAAAATATACAGGAAGCATCACACCAGGCAGAAACAGAAGGTGACGGAGAGTGCGAACAGGCCAGACTTTTCTCGTCGGGGCAACACTGCTGTCCCCGATGATGATTATTCGCTGATTCAGCCATCCCTGCCGAGTCAGGACGTGGCCATTGAAAGTTCTTCAAATACAGCTATGTCTCCTAAGCTTCTCCCACAAACTCCACCGCCCCTTAAGCCCCTCCCACAGACTCAACCACCTGCTAAGCCCCCTCCACAGAATCCAAGACCATTGGCTGGAGTTCATCCACCAGTGGATGTGAGGGCCATCTACAGTGAGCCAGTGGACGCTCTCTCTGGACTAGTGAAGCACACATTTCCTGCTCACAGTGAAACAACTATCTCACCGTACGCCTGCTTCTATGGAGGCCCCAAAAGTTCTGTCAAAATGGGCTGGCTGGACAAGCTCTCTCCTCAAGGGTGAGGAATAAGCCTGGCTGATATGTGCTTTTCTGCTCTTTTGCCTTATGACTTAAATCCCATTTTGTATTGTTACTGTCATAACAACCTTGTATCTTAGACATGATAACTTGACAGGCAAAGGAAGCACATAACTATCTATGTCTTTCCTGTTTATTTCTTTCCCTACACTGAGGTCCACGTTTGTTTATTTCTTAGAACTAAACAAGCTTTTTGTTTTTTTTTGCTGTGACTTGAAGACTGATATACAGTGCTGTGCAAAAGTCTGTGACACATAAGCACATCGTTTAAAATGATTGCTCTTGGTGATGTGTTTTTTGCCAGTAAAAACACTAATAGATGCACATAAACAAATACAGTTAAACATAACAAGAATTTCTTATTTTGTTGACATGTTGAGCTAGTTTATAGAACAAAGTTTGATTTGAGATATGAATCTGTTAAATTCCATCCCCAACACGCTTGATTTAACTTGAAGTACTGATTAGCCAAACTGGGTGTTGGAAGATTTAATTCTACATTTAATACTGGACTGTCACAAGGAGACGTGTGGAAATGTTTGCACGACCACACTGAGATATATAAAATAACTAATTATTGTATTAATGTTATTTATATTTATTCCAAAGTTAGTGTTTTTTTCTGAACACATAAACACTTACAGGTTAGGTTCAATTTAGAAATATAAATCACATTTTCTCCAGTGCGTAATACTTTTACAGAGTACTGTATGTAAATATCCTGTGTTGGCTGCCCTGTGTTTTGCCTGTGTTTGAAAACTGTTTAGGCTGAAATACCCAGAGCCTAGCCAATTCCTGTTTCTCCCATTATATCAAAAACATGACTGCAAAACGATAGAGGGCACCTGTGAACAAGTCTGCTATGAATGGGGGTGAAAGGAGCTAAAAACAAAAAATGTAACTTATTTCTAGGCATTTATGAGGGAACATTTAATTTTGGAGAGTAGAAGGATATATTCCATTTTAAAAAATCTATCTAGCTTTAAACTAGCTCACAAAATCTCTTTCTACAGCAAAAAGATTTTGGGCAGATGCATGCTAGCATTACTACTACTGAGTGCTGATTGGTTGGTGAGCTGATCAGCTTATTGACTGAGTGAAACAATTTGCACCCACTAAAGTTGTGAATGTACATAAGACACAGATAGAAAGTCCTATAACTGGAGTTCAAAAGCACTCAAAAATAGGCCAACAGTGTTATATATATTTTATGTTGGTCTATGTTGAGAAAATGACTGCATTTTTCAGTATAAAAATGGTTAAGCATGTACAAACCACTGATTTACACAAAAGCTCCACAAGAGCTCATTCATTTTGGACTTGCGCCAGACAAACCTGGAAAATACTACTGAGTGGCATTTCTTCTCACTAGAAATTCATTGTGAATGGGTGGGGCCATACTGTTTTAAACTTTACTGATTTTGAACCTTTGCCATCGGTCTGTTCGTCATGAAACGTTCACTAAATATGACCAAAAGAAAAAATGTTATATTATGAAATTATATTATGAAATTATGAAAGTGTTTACTGAAAGCATCACAATCAACGTGTGGTTGATAATCAGTTGAATCTTAATAGTATTTTGGTCACAATGAATCAGTGCACACTCTAGACCAGGGGTGCACAACTTCAGTCCTGGAGGGCTTGTATCCTGCACAGTTTGGTAGTGTCCCTACTCAAACACAGCCCTAAACCTGGCAATTAAGAGATGAGTGTATTCAGGTGTGTTTTAGCAGGCAAATTACCAAACTGTGCCTCCAGAACTGAAGTTGCACCCCAGTTCTAAACAGACACGCTCTAAAGTTAGTCCTAAAACTAGCACACTTTCATTATGGATCTGATTTCTGAGAAAGAATTAAATTAGCAAGTGGTTGTGCAGAACAGTGGGTATCAAACGAGTGAGTGAAACTGGTTATAAGCTGCTTATGTACACTTTGTATTCATTGGAACCCATCTAAAGATTGCACGTGTTTTGTGGTGGTTTCTATATTTTATCTTCCTTAGAATAGAATTACTGCCCAAGGTTTGTTCACACCCAGCCTGAAACATACATGGTTAGTGATGCACTGTCATGCCAGGAAGTGAGCGATTGTAAATGATAACGAGATAGGGGTTGTAGGTCTGGTAATTATCATGTACAGGTGACATTTTAGTTACAGTTTCCTTAGCTATTATTAGAGGATATAAAACTAATAGCATTTCCCAGCATGCTCCTCCTTATCATGCTTTTGCTCTTGATATTCCACAATACAATATCATAATATTTTCACCATTTATCACAAGATCACAGATGTTCCTGATTACTGCAGTCTATTCTAAAAGAATGTCTTACAAGCCTAACATAGCCTGTTTTAACTGTTTTTTTTTTTGTTTTGTTTTGGTTTCTTCTCTTAAAATGATACTGGAGGAAATCCTGCATAGTGAGTCATTCCACTACCCGCTCATCTCGGGCCTGTCCGGTCACGTCATGAATTTTCATGAAAATAGACAGTTTAATTCATGCAACAATGCAGAATTTCAAAGCTGTGCTACATTCATTCATATATTTATTTGTTTGTTCATTTATATATTTATTTATTTGAGTCTTCCCCATCTAATTCTAAACTGTATATTCTGATCAGACATAGCTTTTCTTAATCAGGAAAAGTTTTGAAGAATAAAAATAAAAAAGAAGAAAATCTGACTGAACAATTACATATCATAGATGAAATACTGCAGTTTCACATAAAAAGAGCAAACTCCAATAAATTAGCCTGTTATGGACTTTTATTAATATGAAACATTGTTGTATTTTTACCCAGATAAAATTTTATCTCAGTTCAGTCATTCTAAGCAGTTAAACTCAATACTTAAGATGCAATTTAGAACTGGATGGGGCAAGCTTTAAAAAAAACCCCAAAACAAACAAACAAAAAAAAAACTATATTTTTTTACATATTGCATGAATCAAACAGAATATATTTATTTATTTACATAAATGGAAATCATGACATTTCTGGAAAGGCCCTGGGTGGGTTAGCATGGAATGACCTTAATGTACTAATATCATTGTGGCATTAAGGGGGAGTTTTATTGAATAGGATGTTCTCATAAATATAATCCTTGTTATAGTCATATGCAAACATTTGAGCGCTCCTGGTCAAATTACATGTTTTGTTGATTTTCTAAGTAAAAATAAGTGAACACATCCTCTACAGAGAGCACACGTCTGCACTTTTTAGTACACAATCACTGTTTATTTGCTGAATTTGGCACTTTGGAAAAGATAATAAAACATGAAATGTGGCCTGTGCAAAAGTTATGGTACATTATATACATTTTATGCTTTTTTAATATGCAAATAAATTGAATGTGTGGACTAAAATTTGCAGGAAAATGTTCTATTTAAGTTTTTGATTTTTACAAAGTTTCCATATTGTCACTTAGAAAATCAACTAAGCATGATTTGTTCATGTTTGTCCAGACTGTGTCTATTAATAGCTCCAAAACTAAAAATAGTGCGTAAACGATAGATCAGTCAACAGTGTCAGTTCAGTTCTGGCTAAGTAATGTAGATTCATCTCATGAAGATGCTGAGTCATTGTGAGTTTTGTGAACTTTTGTGAACAGTTTAAACTCAACGTAACAGGAACTCCATTTTTCACTTTCAGAAACTGCGTCTTTCAGAGAAGATGGGTCAAGTTTGATGGAGAGAATCTCACTTACTATAACAATGACAAGGTCAGTGTATAAGAATTGGCCTCAAGCACCTACCCATCTCTTTCTTTCCAGTGCCTAATTTTATGCACGCCCACGCTCCCCTGTAATATTTCTCATTCGGCCCTTGTGAATGAGTGTAGTTCCTGCTTCAGTGTGGTTAAGGACTGGGTGACGCGAGTAGGGACGCTAATACCCTCTTTCCCCTCCATGGTTCTTAACAATGCTTTGCTCTTTCTGATCTCCAAGAAGACCCTAAAGATGGTGACTAGGAGCTAGCACTTCCCCTCAGCCTTTTAAATTAGAACATGAGGCAGTTTCAAAGGCTCTAAAAGGCCTGAATATCCTCTATGATGACTTGCATGCTTTTTGCAGAGCAGGAAGTTCACATACGCAACTGCCCATCCATCCTTTTCAGTGCTTTTAGATATTGGCTCATTCTGTGAGGACAAAGCAGCACTGGTATATGCCAGTTAGCGAAGGAAGTGGAGGATGAAGGTGACACTGATAGGAGGAAAAGAGCACCACTTTTTCTCTGGTAGAGAAAAAGAGATGGAGGGGGTGGTGGGAAAAGGTGACATTACTCCATGCTAGGCTGAGCACCTGTCTGGACTGACCTGTTACGCTACTTTAGCCCTCTTTAGCTCCTGTAAATGAGGGTCATCAGCGGAACTGCTTCCTGCTTCCCTCAGCATCCCTCACTCCATCCTTTTTTCGCTGCCCCATCTCTCTGCGTCACCTTATTTCTCTCGCTCTCTCCCTCTCTTTCACCCTCTCTCTTTTTAAGAAGAAGCAGGGTTAGTGTTATGCTTAGCAGAGGAGAAAAGAAAGAAGAGGAAGCAAAGGGAGTAAAGAACATTGCAACTCAGCAACATTGTATCTCTCCAAGCTCTGGCTCTAAACTTTTTCGCTTTCTCCGTTTTTCTGTCTCCTTCAAAATAACATGCATGAAACTGCTTGAATGTCTTTGTAATTGTTCTTCTTTAATTGAACACCCACTTGCTGCCAATCTGTTTACATCTCTTTGCACAAATGTTTGTTTTTCTCTCGGCGCGTCAGTGTCTTGTTTGTTGGTAGTGCGGGTGTGCGTTTAGATAAAGTGTTTATAGGCGTCCGTGTCATGCCCTTCGTGTGCTAGCACTTTTATGTTCTGCTGTGGCAGCGAGGGCCAACATCACAGTCAATGACGTGAACTCCATGTGATGTAGGCTTGTTAATCAGTTGCTAATTATAGAGCAGCTTTGTCTCTCCCTCCTTTTCTCTGCCCTGTGGCCTTTTATTTATTGGGATGTGGACACACACAGCTGCATTAAGGATCTGTGTGTGTGTGTGTGTGTGTGTGGGTGGGTGGGTGGTTGGTTCTGCAGCTACAAAGTCCTTTGGGTGAGGGTCACTCAGGTCAGAAGAGGTTCTTGGGCTACCTTGCCATTACACTGTGAAATGCATCATGAACTTGGCAAAGAGCCAGTTTTGGCAACATCCAAATTGGGCCAGTCAGAATTGTGAAATATTAACTGACAGTTAATTGGCAGACAAAACTCTGAGTTAGCAATTTTATTGCCGTTCTAATTTAATTGTCTGTTTATTGTATGCAGCTATTAAAGTAGAAATTGACTGATTTAGCTAACTTGCTTTCTACCTGTCAGTACTTAGTAGCTCCCAACTGAGGACAGACACAGCTTGAGCTCAAATAAACAAACCTCACTCACTGCTGCCCTCTAAAGATGTTGTAGCACCAATCAGAAGTTAGAAGTTTTTACTGTTTTTATAAGACTATGTCGTGTCTGAGTAAATAGGCGTTCTGCTTTCTTTTGCTTACAGACAGTTCCTTCAGCCAGCTGATAAGTTTGATAATTTGCACCCAATTTACAATCTGTTTATTGTGACATAAACATATGTTTATGAAAGTTAGCAACTGTAGAAAACAAAAATAAAATAAAAATTATTTTAAATAGCTGCAGTCAGCTTGATTGATGCTACTTAGCTACTTCAGATAACTTATTTTTAGTCACTCTGAGTCATTGTGACTATAAGGCTGTCACAAAGTACTGACTAAGATATACCTTCCTGATTAATCTGCAAAGATTAGTTGGCAGTTTGCATGATGAAGGATGGGCTATATTAAATTATCCTACTGATATGTCTTACAGTAGCAGACAGGCTGATGGACAAATCCATTTATATTTCTTTGTTCTCAACTTTTTAAAAAAGTTCCTGTTTATTTTTTTTATAATTCTTTTTTAAAGTCTGTTTTTGTTTGCCCTCTTTTAAAGCTGATTTGTGGGTCTCTCTATCAATTATATAAGTTGTCAAGTAAAGTGGTTTTTAATATGGGCTTAACTGAAGAGTACTATGAAAAGTACAGTGGTCACCAACCCTGGCCCTGGAGATCTACCTTTATGCAGAGTCAAGAGCTGTTTCTCGGTGTGTGTTCTTGCATTCTCATGTTTCTGCTTGATGTCATCATCTGCTGCCCAAGTTGCATTTCCAGTAATTAAGAACACCAGTACCAAGAATGGTTAAAGTAACTGGATGTGTTCTTGATCTGCCCTGAAAACCAAGGATGACTTTCAAATGTGAGCGACCAGAAAGTCAAATCATTCACTGCGGCATCATAGCACCTGGCAGAGGATACTGACCCACAGCTGTACATTTATATGTTCTCTCTTTTTAAGTAAACAGTGCTCTTAAATCTACTTTAAAATGAGGAGAAAAAGATGTTAAAAAGAAATAGAGGCATTAGACCTTAAAGTTGTCAAGTCTTTGCTCTTTTAGTACATACAATGCCTAATTTGAAAACTTTCTCCTCAGCCTAGCTCTCCTCAGGATCAGTGCCTCAGCTCAGCAATGACGGCTGTAGCAGCACCTTTTCCCTCTTCATTTCTCCTACTCAGATTGTCCCATACCCTGCAGTTATATGAATTCATTCAAATTCCAGGCTTTTAATCACCGTTTATCCTGCTGTTGGCTCATGACCATTTTAACAGAATTACCGCAGCCATCACGGTGGTAGCTGATGAACACGAACGTTCATATCAAATTCTGTTTTGTCATTTTGTGTTGTACAAAAGAGTTTGGGATTCTGTGTTTAATATTGAAAATTTATCAGCTACTAAATAATAGCTTAATGCTGGTGAAATCAGACTCGTATATGTGTGTTCTCCGTTCTTGCTTCGTCATTCGTGCAAGGTAACAAGAATGTTCTTCCCAAGAACACAAATCCATTCTTCGCATTCTTGGTATTGACAAATGCCCTAGTTCCAACCACAATGTGCCAGACCTGCTCCAGCTTATCAACCAAGTCCCTGATTTGCTGGATCAGATATTGGAGTTAAGTAAGGGGCAGGGCAGCTTGTTGAATACAGGTTGGAACTAAACTCTGCAGGAAGCTAGCTCTCCAAGACCAAGGTTTGAGACCACTGGTTTATAAGGAGCCTGTGTACCACTCTTGTGATGATGCTTACACCAGCACTTCTGTGGGAATTTCGATGTTAGTGCCAAGCTAGCAGTAGTGTTCACTTCACATACTGGGTTTAATCTATTTAGGCAAGCTCTGCTTTAACATAGACATTTGGAGCTTGTAACAGACATTGAAGTGCCAAATTCTGAATATTATTGGAGTAGTCTGTTAGTGTGTTAGCCTTTATGCTGCTCAGCCTAGATGTAGTTAAACAATACCTTTTACTTCATATACAACTTTACTTCATGTGCACACAATTTGTAACAGCAAACATTTGCTTCATATGTGTGAAATTTGTAACTACAAACAAATGTACATTCATGAGATCCTGCTGATGTGAGCTTCATTATTCAGTGATGCACACAAAAGTGCAGACGTTTATCATTTCCATTGCAAACTAATTGCTAAGCTGATGCATATGGCACATACATTTGAATCAGTTTTAATTGAGTAATTGCGACAACCCTAAAATGATTACTTGATACTAATGATATTAACATAATGAACTTTAAAATTGACCATCATAAGAAACTTATTCTCATATTTCAGCTCTGTTCTTATCCTTATATTTGTCATTTTGGCTGCATTTTTTTTTTGCCCCTCGCTGGTCCTGCATCTCCTCTTATTCTCTAAGGGGAATCTGACGAAACTTACCAGACACAGACAGTCGGTCCTAATCGCCACGCACCCCGACAGCACCTGGTGATGTCATCAGACACAGAAGGCTCGTGAAGGCGTGGGAGAAAGGGCAGGCACATACTCTCACTCGCTCTGTTTAGGGCCCCGAGGGCCCAAGTAGCTCACTCCCTGTGGAGTTTACCCCCAGTTTCATCAACCTTATCTCAGTCCCTAACACCAGGGGGACTCCAGGGACCCTTTGACAGTACTTTTGGAGGGGTGTGTGTGTGTGCGCGTGTGTGTGCGCGTGTGTGTGCGTGTGTGTGTGTGTGTGTGCGTGTGTGTGTGTGTGCATGTGTGTGTGTGTGTGTGTGTGTTTAAATCAGGGTTTTAGAATGTCACCTGTCAGTAGATTGAAGGTGAGAAAGGGCTGGAGATAGAGATTAGTTCTCTGTCTGGCTCTGAATTAAGGCAAAGCTTTTTCCCAACTGGCGTAAGTAGCCACCCCAAATCCCTCTGAGAATGCTTCACTCACTCGCTGTGTTGTCCCCTTAATGCTGTTTCCTTTAAGCACATGCTGTAATGTCTTAGCTGTAGATCAGGGTTCTTGCAGGTCCTTAAAAAATCTTACAAAGTCTTACAAAGTCTTGAAATAGATTGAACAAATTTAGGGTCATTAAATGTCTGAAAAGGTTTCATTTAAGTAGTTTAAGTTCATACCCAATGAGGGGGTTGAAAGAGTCATTATGTATACTACTACATTGTGTGTGTGTGTGCATAACCATGAACTTAATGTTACTATAAACTATGTCGGAATAGTCCGCCAACCAAAATTATCTAGGCCACAGTGGTCCAGTTGTTGAATGGACCAATAATGAAGGGTTAGAGGATGGTAGAACTGAACAGTCAAATGCACTGAAAAGACCATGCAAGGAAAAGAGAGAGG